AGATCATTCAGAAGCAAGTTATCAGGTTTTTCTTTTGAAACCTTTCTAGGTCGAATATACAACTATCAAACTTTTGGTTAGTATTTGGGTGATTAATTACTTGCACCCAAAGATCCATATGTCATTTAGATATCAGCTATTTAGAACACTCCGAGTTTTCTAGACTACTTTCAAGGGTCTAAGCCATGCTGTGGGAAATAGTGGATAAAATACCTCTTTCTCAGCTGATCATGTTTGCCACCCTGGTCACCATACATAATGTAATTATGTTAGAAAATGCCTATTATTTCAAATATGATTCTTGCAAATGTGATTTTGAATGCAATCTCTTCATAGCTTGGGGGAATGCACTTATCTCAGACTAATGTTTCACCCCGCTGGTTCACAATTGAGAATTCTTTTCTACAGGTGTAATTAATAATAACAATTCTCTGGTTAAAAATCCTATTTACTCTTCTTTTCTGGATTAGGATGGAAAACTACTCTCTGACAAAGGAAGCAACCCACTGAAATTAGGTGAAATTTATACCCATCACAATGGCATGTATGTATGTGATTATATTCAGTCTGATAATACAAGTTCATGGATAGTCAGAGATGTTGTTCAAGTAAGAACCATTGGTAAGTGAGATTTTTCATTTCATAATTTGAGAAGAAACTATTCTTCCTTTTGGCATAGAATTTTTCTTTCAGGAAAAGTTTCCATGCATTGGCCTTTGGTTTGTTTTTATGATATATATATATATATATTTTTTAAATTATATATATATATTAAATATTTCACACAGAAAAAATAAATGACACTTACCAATAAGCTTTTAAAATGTTTGAATACTTTTACATATGCTTAAAATCTCATTTTTTTTTTTTAATTGTAGATACAGCTTGAGGGCTGTGCCTTTGTACCTCCCATTCCTTTGCCCAGGTGTAGTCATGACTTTGTAATTAGTTTATATAATTTCCATCTACATTTTTATGCTTTTTCTTCAGATGTGCTTGTCCACTGATAAAATACAATATAATTTTTGTTATAAAATTTTATGCACATGATATTGTACTAAAGTACCATTTTGCCAGTTTGTGCCCATATCAGCAATGAATGGATTCCCATTCTAAATAATATTTTGTGCTATCAGATTGTTTAATTGCTAGCAAGTGGGTTTTTTCCTCTCTCCTCCCTGTTGACACATCCCTAATTACAGAAGATGTTAAACACCTTGTCATATGTTTACCGGTTCATTTGGTTCCTTCTTCGGTGACTTGTTTGTTCTTGCTCCATTCTTTCCCTTGGGTTGTTTTTACTCTATTTATTAGTATCATCATAAAAAAAATTTTATAATGTAATTCATTTAAACATGGCCTGTTGAATCAAAACATAATATTGTCAGTCAATCATATTTTGTATGAAAAAGCTCCAGAATAGTTTACTTTGTTAAAAGTGAATATATCTATCCATTTTACCTTCTTTTAATGTAAGATAGAAACTACATGGAATACCCTAAAACAAAGTTAAATAATTTCTGGCCCTTGCACTTTGCACTACTTCAGATAACAGCTATTTTTGTTTATGTTACGATGTTCCTTGGAAGAGAAGTGGGAATGTGAATGCCTTACTCATATCAATTTTCCCCTTGATGTGATGTGTGGTTATTCTAACTAGGTATTACTCATCCCACCAGTCTCAGGGGCAAGCTCTACTTTTCTCTCTCCCAAGAAACACATTGCAACATCAGTTCCAACTTTTTAAATCAAGCCCTCTCTATCATCATTCCATTCTTTCTCATTTACTCATTAATTCTTTCATTTATGTATTCCCACTCAAATATTTTTTGAGCATCTAATATGTGTCAGACCCTGGGCAAGGGGTGAGGAATGTAATGAATAAGCTAGAACCTTTCTCTGGCCTCCTAGAACTTACCATCATTTTATGGGGCATACAGATAGAAGAGAGGTTGATAAGTGGAAAGAAAGGGCATTGGGGGATACGGAAGGTCCATCAAAACCAAATCTAGGTGTTTCTCCAGAGGAAGTCAAGTATAAGCTGATGACTTAAAATGAAGCAAAGCAAACTTAATGAAAGTGAGGTCAGAATTCTGTTCTAGGCAGAAAGAGCAGCATAGTTGGTGTCCAGCAGATGAGATACAGCATGATGAAGTATAGGATGTAAAAGAAGAACAGTTTGGTTGAAGCAGTGTTGAGGGTAAAAGTCTAGAAGCATGACTGAGTTCACTCTGTTTTAATGAATAATGGGACATCACTGAGGGTATTACGTGGGCAAGTGTCTTAGTAGGTTTATATGTGAGCTAGATAACTGTCTACTGTGTAGAAAATAGATTTTTGAAGGCAAAGATGGAAATAGGGAGAAAAGTTAGGAGACCACTGAGGTCAAGCAGGCAAGAACTGATGGTCACTGAATTAGGTAATGGCAGTGGAGATGGAGAGAAATAGAAGTACTAAAATACATATTTAAGAGGTACATCTTAAAGGATTTGGTGAGAAAGAGAGAAAATAGTCAGGAATGCAACCTAGGTTTTAAACTGGGCATTTAAGTGGATTTTCTATACTATAGTGATAACATTATATCAGGATAGGAGCTGGTATAGGGACACAGGTGTGGAGCAGGAGGTTTGATTCATGTTCTAAAATGGTGACACTAGTTGCTCTGTGACTAGGCTTAACAGAAGTTATGAGAAATAGCTGGGCTATTTCAATTGAACATGATGCTGGAATTTAAGCAGAAGACAAACAAAGAGAGATTAAAGCTGTCTTAGTTATTTGGCCTGGATAAGTTATCTGGCCTCTTTAACACAAGAGAGACCAAAGTAGAAGAGTTTGCAGGAGAAATAAAGTGTTAGTGTCCAAAGGATATATAAGTCATCCAAGTCACAATGACAAGTAGGTATTTGGATAAACAAGTCTGGAGATGCTAGGAATGGGGATGTTAATGTGAGAGGGTTCACTTTATATTATAGTTAAAGCAAAGGAACTGAATTACCTAGAGAGTAACCCTAGAGAGGAGAGGCTTAGTACTGAGCCCTGAAGCCTTCCAATACTTGGAGAGGTTGAGAAGAGGAGAGGGATATCAAAAGGAGACAGAAGAGGAGTGTGAGAACAGGGGAAAACTTTCCAGTTGACACAGTGAAAAAAACATCTCAAGAAGCAAGGAGTAATGCACCACCTCAAAATAATGAGGCTTGAGAATTGATCATTGAATTTCGCAAGACAGATTCATTTTTATATTAGGAAGTGGTTGTCAGTGGGAAAATGTCAGTGGTAAGGAATCAAAAAAGAAGTTAATTGATGATTCAGGTGAGAGATGACCCAGGTGAGCAAAAGAATACAGTAACATGGAACCCAAAAGAAGAGGGCATGGTCAACAGTTTTCAATGCTGTTCAGAAGTCAAGTGCTTTGAAAACTCACTTGTGCTGAATGAATTTAGCTTTAAGGAGGTCACTGGTGACTTTGAGCAAAATGGTTTCAGTATAGTCCTGGGGGTAGAAATCAGACACCATTTGAGGTGAGGGAATGGATAAAATGAATGTATAAACTCTTTTAGTTTAGAATTTAGTTGTGAAGAAAGAGAATCAATAAAGCAGAGACATGAAGTAAAGGATTCCCCCACCCCTTTTTTAAAAAATTTTTCCCATAAAGATGAAATTCATGTGTAAATGCTGATGTGAGAAAGCCCACAGAAGTAAATGATACAGGAGAGGGAGGGTGTAATTGAGGGGCTAAGGTCTCTGAGAAGTAAGAGTGGATAGCATTGAGAGCAAAGATGATGAATTTTCCGTTAACAGAAAATGAGACATCTTCAGGAGGAAGTTTGACAGTGGAGATAAATTTGAAAGTTTATGGTAGGCACTCACTACTCACTGCCATTGAGTTGACTGTGACTCATAGAGACCCCTCCATGGATTTCTGAGGCAGTACCTCTACAGAAGTAGATTGTCCAGTCTTCCTTCCGAGGAGTGGCTGGTGGGTTTGAACCACCATCCTTCTGGTTAGCAGTCGAATGCCTTAGGCACTATACCACCAGAGGGATAAATGAGTAGATTAAGGGCTAGACTCTATTTTGAAGCAAGCCATGAGTTTGGAGATAAAGAGAGCAAACTAGGTCTTCTTGAGTTGTACATTTTCTCAGGTAGGTTCCACATGGCACCAAAAAGAAATCTTGAAGAAGGAAGAGATGAGGGCTCACGTCTGCAAGTGGTGAACAGGCTTAGTGTGGAAGAAAATTCACTCAGGCAGAAATGGATTATTGATGGTCCAGTATTTGCTAACATTCAAAACCTGATGCTACAATCAATTTTGGAGACACCCTGGTGAGATGGAAACTTGAGTTCTTAGCCTTATGGATTATGGATGAAATGTAAAAAGTAATGCCAATATAGTCAGGTCAAAGTGTGGCCAACAATCCAAATGATCAGCAAGCAGGGTCTTCAGATCTCCCAATGCAAATAATGATTTTATTTTTACATTTTAGTGAAAAATACTAACTTCAAACCAGATATTCTGGTTCCTGACAAGGACACACTGGAAGTAGAACTTGGTAAGCTGGGATGCATTATGGACCTTCAATGACATTGTGGTTCTGGCACTTGGTCCACATGTGATATAAGGAAAAGAACATTGGGCTTTCACATCAAACAGAATTGGATATGAATCCAGCTCAGCTTCAACTAGCTTTGTGACCTTGCACTGTTAGTTAATCCTTGTGAGACTCAGTTTTTTAAATCTGAAAAACAGACATAATGAAACTGGCCTCACAGAGTTCCACTGAGAAGCAATGGGATAATATTCACTAAATAATATGATAATATATGGTAAATGAGCAGGATTAATGGATTTTAGATTCTTCCTTATTCCTCCTGGAATAAGTGGTTATATATATTGGTAGGGTCTGTTGATTATGTCTATACACTTATCAACTTGAGTAGCACTAATCCTTATGAATATGGTGTTTTGTCTGAATGAGTAGACTACTACAATCTCTGCTCAATTTGTGTTCCAAAGTAGTGTCTACTTTTGCATAGAGGGGAACAGTAACTTTTCTCTAATCTACTTTCATTTTGTCGACATCAGTAGTATCTATGTCTTCTTATACATCTCAATAATATTGTTCTATCTAAAATCAAATACTGTTTTTTCCCCAATAAAGTGTACTTTAAAATGGTAATAAAAATTTGTAGTTATAGAAAGAAATATAAAAATATATATCATGATATAAGATCACTAGGTAACAGTAGTGGTATATCCTGATTCTAGAACTAGAAATGACATTTTGGACAACATTACAGGAAATGAAGGAAAAGGGAAAAATAAATTAATTCAAAATAGCTAAGCTACATATGGTATTAGTAGATTTTATGGTATGTATTAAGTTGCAAAAATTAGTTTTCAAATGGATTCCCTAACCATTTCATGATTAAATATAGAGTTTGAGACAGAGTATATCTGGATACTTGTTATAGAGAAAAAGTGTAGAAAGAGAGTGATGTGATAACGTTCATGTCCATTCACAATGCATCATTCTAAAAAGCTCAGCTTAATATATAAATAAATTCTTTAAGTTACATGCTACAGCAATCTCATGAACTTAATTAATATACAAGTATTGGTCATTAAGGGAGCTCTGGTGGTGTAGTGTCTAAAGCATTTGACTGCTAACCAGAAGCCTGGTGATTCAAACCCACCAGGCACTCCTGGGAAGGAAGACTGGACAATCTAGTTCCATAGTGATACTGCCTGGGAAACCCAAGGAGGGTTTGCTATGAGTTGCATCCGACTCCAGGGTCATGTGTTGCATTGTTGTTGGTTGTTAAACGTTCTTTATTGACACACCTTGTACTTTAACAGTCATGTTGGAGATGGTGCTAGGCATTGAAATGCTGCAATTTCCCTATGACTGCTCTCAAACCTGGGTTCCTGGAAGGTGCAAATGGTCAATGTTCTCAGTTGCTAACTGAAAGTTTGGAGGTTTGAGTTCACTCATACATGCTTTAGAAGAAAGGCCTGGCATCTACTTCCAAAAAAATCAACCTTTGAAAACCCAATGGAGCATAGTTAGAAGAAGCAAGAATAGTGCTTCTCTGATACCTGTGGGACCTCCACGGATCAGAATCAGCTCAACAACTGATCTTTACTCTCAAACCACATCAGACCCCTTGGTGATATGGTCTTGTTAATCTTTACTTTAAGAACATATAGATACATGTTTGAACTCTAACTATTGTTCATTAAAGACAACCATGTTGTTTTTGTTGTTGTTATGTGCCGTCAAGTCGGACCTGACTCATAGTGACCCCTCCTTGGGTTTCTGAGGTGGTATCACTACGGAAGTAGATCATCCACTCCTTGAAAAGACAACCATATCTGGTTTTATTTCTTTCTAAATGAGACACATGAAGCAATATGGTTATTCTGGTACACCTGTCTCACCTGAAAGACTGACTGAATCAAGGTCAGGGCTGTGTCCTTTCCATGCAGACAGGACAGCATGATCTCATGTGTGTCCTTCCTCTATTCTCTGGCTTCTTTATTTTTAGGAAAGCCTTTAACTCTCAACTGCAAAGCACGATTTGGCTTTGAAACCAACTTTACACCTGTGTTGAAATGGTACCTCAACGATGTTGACCAGAAATGGTAAGTTCCCATACCTGAGCAGAAAAGGTAAGAAGAAAATGAGTGGGCTATATTCTTTGCAACCTACACTAAATGTTTTCACCTTTAGAAACCACTAGAATATACACACAGATGTGAACAAACATCCACGTTAATGGTGTAGCCTCTTGCACCTACCAATGGTGAAAATAAAGGACAGAAATGCAAAGTGAGTGTTAATAAAATAAAAGGACTGAAATGCAAAATGAATAAATATGGAGGCCAAGTGCATCTTCTGATCAGGTCATAGAATGAACTATTTAAGTTATTTTAAAGTTCAGTTTGAAACAACTGTTTGATATGGCTGCCCTAAAACTCAAGAAAACAAACAGACAAACATACTAACCCAGGGAACCCAGGGGAAAAAATGCAGCCTCCCTCACACCCTGTTTTAATTAATGTCTAACCATTCCATTCAGAGTGTGTGATGAATTCAGGAATGTAAATTTTGACAGTAATTAACAGTCTGGAACATATCCAACAAGGCAGCACAATGATATGGACTCTGACAATAAAATATGTGAAGTCAGGAAGATTAGATTAAATCAATTTATCTTGGCAAATAGGAGACTCAGGGTGGAATACCTGTCTTGCAATATTTAGGAGCTAACCAAAAAAAACCAAACTCACTGCTGTCTAGTCGGATCCGACTCACAGCAACCTCTCCTTGGGATTCTGAGGCGGTATCACCATGGAAGTAGATTGCCCAATCTTCCTTCCAAGAAATGGCTGGTGGATTTGAACCTCCAGCCTTCTGGTTAGTTGTCATATGCCATAGGCACTATGCCACCAGAGCGCCTATTAGGATTCATACTGCATGGCTTAAAATCAGGAAGGGTATACGTCAGGGTTGCATTCTTTCACCATACTTATTCAATTTGCATGAAGAGCAAATCATCCAAGAAGCTGGACTATATGAAGAAGAACATGGCATCAGAATTGGAGGAAGACTCATTCACAACCTGCAATATGCAGATGACACAACCTTGCTTGCTGAAAGTGATGATGACTCGAAACATTTACTGATGAAGACTACTGTCTTCAGTATGGATTATACTTCAACATAAAGAAAACAAAAATCCTTACAATTGGACCAATAAGCAACATCATGATAAATGGAGAAAAGATTGAAGTTATCAGAGATTTCATTTTACTAGCATCTGCAATCAACACTTATGGAAGCTGCAGTAAACAAATCAGATGTCGTATTGCACTGGGCAAATCTGCTGCAAAAGACCTCTTTAAAGTATTAAGGAGCAGGGTGATGTATCCACCTACTCTAGGGATATACACCCCTTAGTGCAATCAGTCATAGAGCACCAGAAGGACAGCATTCACATAGAAAGCTGTACAGACAGGAGTGCATAGTTAAGAAGGGCACAGGGAGGGCGGGGACAGGAGGGGAAACGAGTTTGTTATGGTCAGGGATGGTAATCGGGGCATGAAATCAAATGTGCATGAAATGTACAACAATTTGCTTCAATTTGCACCCAAAGCAAAATAAAATAATAAAAATAAAAAATTGTTAAGGAGCAAAGATGTCACTTTGAAGACAAAGGTGTGTCTAACCCAAGCCATGGTATTTTCAATAGCTTCATATGCATGTGAAAGCTGGACAATGAATAAGGGAGATCAAAGAAGGGTTGATGCTTTTGAGTTGTGGTGTTGGTAAAGAATACTGAAAGTATTCATGGACTGGCAGAAGAATGAACCAATCTGTCCTGGAAGAAATGTAGCCTGAATGCTCCTTGGAAGTGAGAATGGCCAGACCTTGTCTCATCTACTTTGGTCAAGTTGTCAGAAGGGAAAAGTTCCTGGAGAAGGATATCATGCTTGGAGGGTCAGAGAAAAAGGGGAAGACCCTCAACAAGATGGATTGAGACAGTGGTTGCAATGGGTTCAAGTATAGCAAAGACTGTTAGGATTCAAGTATAACAAAGACTGGGCAGTGTTACATTACATTGTACATAGTGTCATTATGAGTCAGAGCTGACTTTATGGCACCTAACGACAACAACAACCCAATCTCAGTATTTTCAATCACCTCATAAACATGTGAATGCTGGACAGTGAATAAGAAAGACCAAAGAAGAGTTGATGCTTTTGAACTGTGGTATTAGTGAAGAATACTGAAAGTACCATGAACTGGCAGAAGAACAAACAATCTGTCCTGGAAGAAGTGTAGCTGGAATGCTCCTTAGAAGACAGAATGGCCAGACTTTGTCTCATCTACTTTGGTCAGGTTGTTAGAAGGGACCTGTCCTTTTTAAAGTGAGGGTCACAGAAGAAGGGGAAGACCCTCAATGAGATGGATTGGCACAGTGCCTGCAACAGTATGTCCAAGCAAGCACAGCAAGGATTGTGAGGATGGCACAGGACCAGGCAGTGTTCTGTTCTGTTGTACACAGGCTCGCTATGAGTCAGAATTGACTCAACAGCACCTAACAACAATAAAAAGAAAAGAAAAGAAAGAAAGATATTAAGATTCATGAGAAATTGACTTAGTTTGCTTATATCCAGAGAATAGACTCTAAACCAATGAACAGAATTTACTGAGGACAGATTTTGGTTCAATAGAAATAAAAATTCTAGACATTTGTAAATATTCAACATCTCAGCTGGTCTTCTATCCTTGAAAAGACCAAAGGGTTTGAATCCAGTCTGTCACATACTTTGCTAGAGGATATATTATCCTATTTTTCTGAGGTTCTGTTCCAAAGTAAGAGAGTCTTCATTAAAGTCTTTCTTATAGTATCAAAATAAATAAATAAATAAATAACTGTAAAATCAGTTTAAAAACTATGGATCACTATAAAACTAAAGGAGAAATTTTGGAAACAGCAATAAAATTTGGCAGGAATTTCTATGACAGGGAATTCATTGGATCTTATAAGTTTATAATGCATTAAAGTTCAAAATAGTCAAGTGTGGCAAGGAGAATATGATTTGATGGCACAGAGCCTTGGCTTTGAATGTTTTCCAGTGATTAGCAATGCGACCCATAACCTCTATAAGTATCCATTGCCACATCTATAATCTGTGCACAAACATCTGTACCTGGCAAGGCCATTGTAAGGATAAGTTATACACCATAACAGTCCCTGGGACATAGGAAGCAATTAAAGCTGGTATTGTAGACTTAGCAAAGCACCTCAGAGCAACACAGCCTAAAACATCACCTACGTAAACCAATTTCTTAACTTGAGGACTGATTGTAGTTGGAAACTTTAGAGAATCCAAGTTGTAAATAAATGCAAAGACTCACAACCTCTTGGAGGAAGCAGAATGGGGCAGGAATTAAACTGCTGCCTCTCAGCTATGTGACCTTAGGCTACTTGCACACTTTCTGTGCCTCAGCTGCTTTGCTGGTTAATTTATGTTGGCCATACTATTACCATGTAGGGTTCCTGTGAGATGAGAATAGAGGAGATTCAATAGTTCACATTCAGTGCTTGAAAGAGCATCTATCATGTACCTAATATGTCGTCAGTAAATTTAATATTATTAATAGTTATTTCTAAATTCTTGGCATCTGTTCGCAAGGATAATTTTTAAGGCAAAGAATGTCAAATTATGCCCACAGATAGAACATATCTTAGTATAAAGGCTTAGAATGTCAAGCCAAAGTCCAGGCTTTCCAAGAAAGACCTAACTAAACACAGGTATTTGGTGAAACAAGATTTTATTCTCATAGTGGAGACAGAGCAAGGTCAGCTGCAATAGCATATGCCAGTTCCTGCATGGCCAGTGGGTCATTCCTCATAGCTAATGCAGGGCTGGTGGTCTGCCCACAACCCCCTCATGTTGCAGTTGAAGAACCTCATTCCTTCTCCAATAAGAGCAGTTATAGAGAAGTGATGCAATGTAACTTGCATGTTTACTTAAGCAGTTCTGAGAATGTGCTCAAGGCAAGAGGAGAAGGATTTGTTGATCGTCCACCAGCTGCTATGAGATGTGTCCCCTGGATCAATCCCCCCGGAAGGCAAGTCAGTCAACACTCTCATGCCATCCAAGATGTGAAAATGACACACCTTGTCCTAAGTACAATGTTCATTCATGAGTCACAGGTTTACTCTTTCTACATAGCATTACTCTTAGCAGATTCAATAATTCAATCAAAAATAAATTCTGGCATCTCTCTATACTATGCATCTCATGATAAAAATTTTTAGATATCCAAATGGTTGGCTACTTACATGGGTTCCAAATACGGCAAGTAAGTCTTAATTTATGCTTTCTTTTTGTTGTTGCTGTTTTTTCCTTTTCTAGTATCCTTTCCAAGACTTCTGCATTAGAGAATGACATCATTCAATGTGTTCTCTCTTTGAAAGAAGTTACTAAGAGTGATCTTCACAATAAGTTCACTTGCTTTGTCAAAAACTCAAAGGGAAACGATACCCGGTCAATCCAGCTGAAAGAAAAGAAAGGAGGTAAGCTAGGAAAGTTGCCCCACAATGTATGCACTTGCTTTTCTCAAAAGGAGAGGAATTTTTCTCCGTAATAATAATGATGGTGTTGATAATAGCAATTATTTTACTAGGTGCCAGACACTATTCTAAGCACTTTGCTTGTATTAACACATTCAATCTTCTCAACATCTTTCTATGTAAGTACTGTTATCTCTATTTTATAGGTAAAGAAACTGAAGCACAGAGGAGTTCATACCTTGACCAAAGCCATACAGCTAACAAATTGCACATTGGTAATCTAGAGATGGTCCTCATAACTAATACACTGTGTGTGTGGAACTGTTGGCAAACCATTCATTCATTCCACAAATGTCTATAGTATAGGGTATATCCTATGTGGCAGCACTGTACAAGGCCCAGGCTCCCTTTCTTGGTTTCCTTTCCCTGCCTCTGAATCCTAGAACACAATGAGCAGGTAAGGGAGACTGGAGGAGAGAAACAGTAATCTTACTCTGTGTTCAGAGTGATACATGTGTATCAGAGATTGTAGTCTTTTAAAGCTGGAGGGGAAACTATACTCCAACCTTTTTATTTTCCATGGATGGAATAGCCTTTAAATTCTTCAAGAAGGTTCACAGAGGTGAAGTTCATATCATTCATTTGTTCTTTCATCCATTCAGCTACATAATTCAATGAACAGATTGAATAGATTAATTCAACTCATAAATTTAAAACAAGCAGGGTTTGAATGTTTGTTAGGCTTAAATAAAACAATGTTTGTGCCTGGTCTGTAGGAAGTGCTTTGTAATGGAGGCTGCCTTCCAGGTGTAGGGTCCTGTGTAAGGCATTGTGGAAGGTGTGAATGTAAGCCAGGTGTTGCTGCTTAGGCTTTAGTGAAATGCCACATCCATTGAGTCCATTCTGACTCATAAAGACCCCCATACAGTTTCCAAGTCTGTATATCTTTACGGAAGCAGATCGCCTCATCTTTGTCCTGTGGAGTGGCTGGTGGGTTTCAACTGTTGACCTTTTGGTTAGCAGCCCAACGCCTTAAACAGTGCAACTAGATCTCCTTCTAGAGACTTTAGTTAAAAACCAAAACAAACAAAACAGTGCCATCAATGTAATTCCTACTCATAGCAACCCCCACTGTGTTTCCAAGGTTATAAATCTTTAACTAAAGTAGATTGCCTCTGTATGGAAACAGATTGCTTCATCTTCCTACCACAGAGAGGCTGGTAGATTTAAACTGATGACCTTATAGTTAACAGCCAGATACCTTACCCACTACACCACCAGACCTGCTTTTAGACTTTAGTAAGGGTAACTAAATGATAATAATTTACAATATATAAGAGAGTTATACTAATGGATTGTATGAAAGTTGATGGAGGGAAATAAAAAATAAAAACAACTATAATCAGCTTTCCAAGCTGCTAAGATCTAGTAAATGCCATTCGCCTGTTTTCTCTGGAGTTTATTATAAGATGGTGTCCTTAAGACTTGATTTAAGACATTACCAGATCCAAAAAGAATGCTGCCAACAGCAGTAATTTTGATGAAACAGAGATGGAAAAGGCCTTGCATGGGCCCACAGCATTGGCCTGAATGTGATCCTGTCCAAATGCAAGTTGCTCATCTTTCTCTGAGTTTGTTCATCCCTACCATATTTTTCTCCCTAGTGTTTTTCACATATGTTCTACTTGGCACCGTCATGGCCCTAGTGGGCATGCTGACAGCAAGTACTCTCCTTTACATGTACTGGATTGAAATTGTGCTTCTGTACAGAAACTACCAGAGCAAGGATGAGACTCTTGGAGGTAAGAACAATGTAACCCAGGGCCATGGTAACCTGAGAACCTGTGATCTTTCCTCTCAGAACTGATTTGGAGGATGTATTTATCAGGATTCTCCAGAAAAATGGAACCAATAGGACACACACGCATACATACACAGATTTTAAGAAATTTTCTTATGTGATTGTGGGGGCTGGCAAGTTAAAATCCATAGGTCAGGGGGGCAGAGTGGAAACTCCAGCAGTCTTGTGTACAAAATTCGTAGGTGAAGTGACTAACTAGAAATTCTGGCAGGATACCTAAGTTACTGGCTTGAAGTCCTTCTCTCTGAGACACCTGTTTTTCTCTGAGGCCTTTAAGTGATTAGATAAGACTCATCCATGTTCTCCAGAGTAATCTCCTTTACTGAGTGTCAACTGTTTTAAAAGTTAATCATATTTACAAAATATATTCATAGCAACATCTAGACTAGAGTTTGACCAAACATCTGAGCACTACAGCTTAACCAAGTTGACATATAAAATTAATGATCATAGAGGTAATAAAAGACCTGGACAATAGAAAATGCTGTCATCACACATAGGTTTTGCTTCCTCAGACTTAAGAAAAGAATTTCAGAGTCCTTCTACATCCCTGGCACTTGCAAGCACATGGGGCCTGCACATCAGAACTGATGTGACAGTGTTTCCATAGTGGGACCGAGTGCAGCTGTGTGTGTGGGGAATTGCACCACTGAGGGAGTTTGGGTAACCAGCTCAGTGGGGCATAAAGGAAAGGTTCAAGACATAGTTTTCCCCAAGGATAGAATCATGGCCCTAAGGCTTTGGGTCTCTCCTCCCAGCCCTGACGGCCTCACACAGGGAGTGCTAAGAACAGGTAGAGAAGCAGTTTCTTCTCATTCCAGAAACCAGGAATCTGGTACATGGTTCTATTGTAGGACACGTTGGACTTGAAAACAATCTCTCTGCTAACTAACCTAAAACAACATGAAAAATGACTTACCCGTTTCATGCCTTAGTTTTCTCAGCTGCAGAATACGATAATAGCACCAACTACAAAGTAAATTGTGTGGGGCCATTGAGGTAAGACCTATTAAGCATTTAGAATAGCATCCAGCACATAATGAACACTCAATACATGTCAGCTAATATTATTTCTTGAGTACTGGGTGTATTAGATAATCATATTTTCATAGCATCCTGTGAACAAGGCAGAGAGAGGTGAATCCCTTGCTTAACATTGAACTGCTAGAAAGTGCTGGAGCTAGGATGTAGACCCAGGCAGTCTGGTTTAAGCTACTGTGTCATCTTCATTTGCAGCTTGAGGGCCTTTAAGATGGTGAAAATGAACTGAAAAGTGTCAAGTTCTGTAAAATGGCAGTGCTGTTATTGTTAAGGAAGTATTTGTCAATTTTTCCCATGAGACTGGAAAATAATGTTTAGTAAAGTTTGTATCTTTAGAATAAAATAGCTATGGCTGTTTTTTTCTAGGTTAGAAAAAAACATTCTCTTAGGTTAGGAGCTCTGGTAGCATAGTGACTAAGGCACTTGATTGCTAACCAGAAGGCTGGCAGTTCAAACCCACCAGTCACTCCTCGGAAGGAAGGTTTGGAAATCTACTTCCGTAGTGATACTGCCTCAGCAACCTAAGGAGGGGTCACTATGAGTCAGGGCCGACTCGAAGGCACATAACAACAAAAACATAAGGTTAGAATAGGAGCTCTGGTAGCATAGTAGTTAAGTGCTTGACTGCTAAGTAAAAGGTTAGTTGTTTGAACCCACCAGCCAGTCTGAGGGAGACAGATGAGACAGGCTGCTTCTATAAAGATTATAGCATTGGAAACACTATAGGGCAATTCTACCCTGTTCTATAGCATTGCCATGAGTCAGAATTGAGTCAATGGCAATGGGTTTGGTTTTGGCTTTGGAAAGTTAGAATGTTGCCCTTATAGTAGTGATTCTGTTACTTGGAAAAGGCATAATCCCTCTGCATGATATTTCTGTTGGATACCAAAGATAATTATTTACTTTACTACGATGGCATTTCCAAACTCCAGTACTTTGCCTTCAACATGAATTTTGGAAAGAGTTGTTACATCATAAGGGAAAGAGCCAATAAAGAAATGATTCAGTTGCACCATACTTTATACCACCTATCGAGAGTACTGTGTAGCAGAAATTCTTTAGCCAAGAGTGTTTTGGAATTTTTTAAATTTTGGGTTTATTATAATAAACATTTTTGAGCCCTGGTGGCACAGTGCCTAAGGCATTTAACTGCTAACCAGAAGCCTGGTGGTTCAAACCCATCAGCCTCTCCTTGGAAGGAAGAGCTATACTGCCTCAGAAACCCAAGGAGGGGTCCCTATGAGTAGAATCAACTCCTCAGACCTGAATTTTTTTTATTATTAATATTTAACTCAAACCTGGTTTGAATTGAGCAAATCATCTAATCAACACCTTAGTCTTGCCCGAGGCAACTTCATATTTCTTTTACTAAACTTCTATTTAGCTTAAGAGTCTAGATTTTGTATAAAAGGGTCAAAGGGCACCTTTAAATGCATCTTCTGGTGGCATAGTGCCTAAGGCATTTGACTCCCAACCGGAAGGCTAGAGGTTCAAACTCCCCAGCCACTCCCCAGAAGGAAGGTTGGGAGATCTACTTCCGTAGTCATAACGCCTAGGTAACCCAAGGAGGGGTCGCTATGAGTGGGATCTAACCTGATGGCAATAAGTTTGGTTGGTTTGATCTCTTTGCAAACTGAGTAATCCAATGGAGATGCAGGATTTCAAGTACAGTGATGCAGTGCCCTCTGCTGGCTAACGAAAATTTTTTTTAACAAAAATGACTATTCCCTTTTACGTTAATACTGACTATCTAAAAAAAAAAAAAAAAAAAAAAAATTGGGGAGCTCTGGTAGCATAGTGGCTAAGACGCTTGCCTGC